CTTTTTTTTTTTTTTGTCATCTTTTAACCGTAGTTTTGTTGATTTAGGGCTATGATGCATTTTTGGCCTCGGAAGCCCTGATCAAGCAAATTCCGCGCATCCTTGGGCCAGGTCTGAATAAAGCCGGTAAGTTTCCCAGCGTTGTTTCGCACTCCGAAGCGCTAACGGCCAAGGTTGAGGAGATCCGTTCGACAATCAAATTTCAAATGAAAAAGGTGTGCTTTTTGATTTTTTTAGCCTTCTTTTTACAGTCTCACTGCCTAGAGTGTTAAAAGTAGCCCCAACAGTAAAAATTGCTGCTCTGCGGAATGCCTGTCCAGCCTTCCTTTATCTTTTTAAACACCTTTTTTGGCCTTAAGCCGACCTTAGCATGATGCTGCAGTTGGCTCCGGGTTACACCGATATCTCTCCCTCATCCTGGAAATCGACTTCCTGCTGAATTAACTGTGACAGCCTGGTCTGCTTTTTGCTCCTCTCAAGCAGAATGGCAGCCCAAAACTGTTTTGCAGGGGATTCGCTTTTAAGGCACATTTAGCCGGAAATAGTAGCCTTTTTGCGCTTCCTGATACGTATGAATTTTTGAGACTGTCCTTTTGAGGCTGAAAAAATTGTATGAGCAGTTTTTCGTTGCTGTAGTCGTTCTTGGGGGAAAGGCGAGAATTTTTTGTAGGCAATTTTTATCATTCATATCCTATTCGTTTTGCGTAGTCGTCAAAAGGAAGAAAAATTCAGACCCCGAAGGTTGCTGAAGTTAGACCTTTCGGAATACTTGATTCCTCTATGCCGACGTGGACCCATCGTTTTAGTGAATGCACTGACGGCATGTTACGAATGGGTAGCGTTTTTTGCTGTAAAATAGATATAAATAGATTGAATTTGGGGTCTTTGAGGTTTTTGTCGTCAACAGATTATATTTTCTGGTGGGTACTACTTCCCTCCCCCTTTCCCCCCCCTCCCCTCCCCCCTTTCTTTTATCCGTTGGTACCTCTCTGTCCTCACTCC